ATTGTCGAACTGCTTCCCATTATCACTGATAATGGCGTAGGGTATTCCGAAACGGCAAATTATGTTCTTCCAGATGAAGTCGGTGACCTTTTTCTCTGTAATTGTCGCTAGGGCTTTGGCTTCGGCCCACTTAGTAAAATAGTCGACTGCCACTACTGCAAATTTGGTCTGGCCCCTTCCTAGTGGGAGAGGCCCTATAAGGTCTATTCCCCACTGAGCAAAGGGCCAAGGACTCATTATGCTTGTCAGAGGCTCTGGCGGTTGTCTAGGTACGGTTGCAAACCGTTGGCATTTGTCGCATTTTTTGGTGAATTGCTTCGTGTCATTCAGCATGGTCGGCCAGTAGTACCCTTGTCGAATTATTTTGTGACTTAGGGATCGTGCTCCAGAATGGCTCCCACAAACACCCTCATGTATCTCTCTCATGACGTAGTCGGCTTCATCGGGCGTTAGACATTTTAAAAGCGGCAACGAGTAGCCTCTTTTGTACAGATTGTCGTCTTTAAGCACATATCTGGCCACTCGTCGTTGTAGCTGCTGGGCCTCTATCTTTTCAGTAGGCAGGATCCCATCTTTCAAATATTTGATCAAAGGGCTTTTCCAGTTTTCTTCTGATTGCCCTTGATTGTCGATATCCATGGCTTCCTGAGCTTCTATGCTTGGCTCGGGTAGAATCTCGACCGGTACAGTTCTGCCTAAGTTGGTTTCATAAGCCGCAGCTAGTCGAGCTAACGCATCGGCGTTGACGTTTTGAGCACGTGGAATTTGTCGAATCTCATATTTTGAGAACTGGTCGAGCTGGTTTCTTACCTGTGAAAGGTATTTCKCCATTYGMGRTTCTCTAGCCTGGAACTCCTCTTTCACCTGACCCACAATCAGCTGTGAATCACTAAGTATTAGTATGTTCCTGACCCCAACGTACCTGGCCACTTTTAGTCCTGCTAGTAGAGCTTCGTACTCGGCTTCGTTGTTGGATGCATGAAAGTTGAATCGCAGCGCATATTCGAATCTTTCTTTATCTGGAGAGATTAGTAGGAGTCCTGCCCCGCATCCCCGAAAATTTGAGGACCCATCTACGTAGAGTGTCCAGAGTTGTTCTTCCTCAACCACTTGTGGGTCGATACTATATACTTGAGGCTCTGTTGGTGTTAATTCCGCTATGAAGTCTGCCACAACCTGCCCTTTCATGGCAGTTCTTGGCTTATAGTGAATGTCGTACTCGCTGAGCTCTACAGCCCACTTTACCAGTCGTCCAGAAGTGTCTGGCTTTTGTAAGATCTGTCGTAAGGGAAAGTTAGTGAGGACCATTATTTTGTGAGCTTGGAAATACGGGCGTAGTCTCCGAGCTGAAGTGACCAGTGCCAATGCCAGCTTCTCCATTGGTGGGTATCTAAGTTCTGCATCTACCATTGCTTTGCTTGTGTAGTAAATTGGGGATTGTCGTCCATCTTCTTCCTTTATTAACGCGGAACTCACCGCAGTGCTGGATACAACTAAGTATAAGTAGAGCTCATCACCCACGATCGGCTTTGCGAGGAGTGGAGCTGCCCCTAGGTACTGTTTCAGCTCCTTAAAGGCAGCCTCGCACTCTTCCGTCCATTCAAATTGTCCTTTCTTYCTTAAGATTTTGAAGAATGGTAGGCACTTGTCAGTSGAACGGCTAACGAATCTGTTGAGTGCTGCTATCCTTCCMTTGAGTCCCTGCAGCTGCTTTAGAGTTTTARGTGGATCCATCTCCAGAACAGCTTTGATCTTATCTGGATTGRCTTCGATTCCCCTTTGGTGCACTAAAAATCCCAGGAACTTGCCTGAGGTCACTCCAAACGTGCATTTGGTGGGATTCAACTTCATCTTGTACTTTTGCAAGATGTCGAAAGCTTCTGCCAAATCCTCCTCGTGTCGCTCGTTCTTTCGACTCTTTACCAGCATGTCGTCTACGTAGACTTCCATATTTTTGCCGATTAAGGCTGCAAACATCCGATTCACCATTCGTTGGTAGGTTGCACCTGCATTCTTTAGTCCAAACGGCATCACGGTGTAGCAATACAAGCCTCGACTCGTGACAAAAGAAGTTTTCTCCTGATCCGGTACATGGATCTTGATTTGATTATATCTAGAGTAGGCATCCATGAAACTCAATCTTTCATGTCCTGCAGTGGCATTAACCAGTTGATCTATTCGAGGCAAAGGAAAAGAATCCTTTGGACAAACCTTATTTAGATCCGTGAAGTCAATGCACATTCTTCATTTGCCGTTTGGCTTCTTTACCAGCACCACGTTGGATATCCACTGGGGATAATGTACTTCCCGAATGAAGTCTGTTTTCAGTAGCTCATCCACCTGTTCAGCTACAATCTCGTTCCTTTCTTGGTTGAACGCGCGACGCTTCTGTTTCACTGGCTTACAACTCTCGTCGACGTTGAGTCGATGTACCATAACTCCTCGGTCGATTCCCGACATGTCCTCCGGTGACCATGCGAACACAGCAGCATTGCTTCTGAGGAAGTTTATAAGGCTTTCTCTTTCCTCACTCCCCAACTTGGTTCCGATGTTGACCCGTCGATCTTCGGCTGTCAGAGGGACAGATTCTACCTCTTCAGCCGGTTCTCCCCTGTCAAGGGTGGTCGAATTAAGTCGATGACCAGGGCTCGACCTTGCCTCTCCCGAAAGATCTGTCGCTTTAATCAGGCCCGCCACTGGTTCTCCCTTATCAAGGGTGGTCGGATTAAGTTGATAACCAGGGCTCGGCCTCGCCTTTCCCGAGAGGTCTGTCGCTTTATTCAGGCACGACACTGGTTCTCCCCCGTCAAGGGTGGTCGGATTAAGTTGACGATCAGGGCTCGGTCTTGCCTCATCTAAGTGATCAGCCGCTTCTTTMAGGCTCTTCTCTTCG